AAGAAAGAAAGAAAGAAAGAAAGAAAGAAAGAAAGAAAGAAAGAAAGAAAGAAAGAAAGAAAGAAAGAAAGAAAGAAAGAAAGAAGAAAAAGAAAGGAAAGAAAGAATTGAAAAATTCATAGACTTCTTTTCCTATAGGCTTATAGTTTTGAATGTTTCAAGTTAAGGGAAGTTTAACTTCTCTCCCTATCTTAGAGAGTAAAATCAGTGCTTTTCTGAAAGCCAACAAATAATATTCAAAGACAAATTCTCCTGTCCCACCAGGTGGAGCAGCTCTCTCTCCACTTCAGAGGTAAGGGGTTGTCTCTCTACTTATTAGCTGTTCTAGGGTATGGAGGATTCCTCAGGTAGAGTAAGAACAGTGTTTTTCCTCATTCCCCTCCAGCATATGGACACAGTTTGGAGAGAAAGAGAAAACAGGATTTTCTGGGCACATTCAAGGTACAGGATGAGGTGATCCTGTCTTCTAGCTACCAGAGTTAAGAGCTGTTCTATTTTTCCTCTACTCAATAGAGACATCTCAGGCACACCTGAAGGCAGTTGAACAGAAATGTGAAGAAGTAATAGGCATAGAAAACAAAACTTGAGACTTGCCTCCCCTTAAATTTTTCCTTCCCAGGCCCACCATACCTCCGCAGCTCCCAGACCCCTACCTCCTTCCCTCTGCACTTGAAGAAGCTGGGACACTTCAACTTGTCCATGGTTCACTCACTCTCTCTGCTCGCTCTGCCTAGTCTCGTCTCGCAGTCTGGCTGAGCTTGACTGGTGACAGGTGCACACTTCCCCGTTTCTATCTGCCAGAGTGAGCCACCTTACCCAGGGGTGGGACAATTTATGGAGGGAAGCTCTCTCCTCCCCCTCCTGGGCGACCTGTCAATTACCGGAAGAGACCAAAGTGAGGCTCTGGTTTTTCCCCAGGTAAGCTGGCATGTAGCAATCCCCTTCCCGGCCCCAGGAAAGGGCTGGGCTGTGAGAGAGCAGAGCAGCTTGAGCCAAGACGACTGACAGCCTTTGACTCAGAGCCGAACAGGTGCCTTCGCAATCTCTCCCTATTTTTCCCCCCGATTCCCCGCTTCCTCCTTCTAGCCTCCTCCGCCTAGTCTCCTCTCTGTCCGGAGGCCAAGTGCTGATCTCCACTGGTGCTAGAGGGGGGAAGGGCACGGTGTGCGGGGCCCATTTTGTTGCCCAAGATTTTTTTTTGAACGGATGGTACCACGCTGGGCTCTGGGATTTCCCAAATTTTTGCCACTCACTAGAAAACACTTGATCCCCTGGAGCAAAGGCTGCTCCCAGAGGGAAAGCTACTGAATTGGGCACCTTGAAAAGCAGCCAACTGAGATATGATTACTCAGCTGGCTCTGCCTGAAAAGGGCGAATTTGAGCCTATGTCTCAAGCACATCTTTCAGCCTTAAGGACAGCATTGCCCTTAACAGGGATTGCTTTGTGTAGTATTTCAAAGAAGCCAAACAAAAACAAGTTATTGATCAGTTTTATGGGAAATTCTAACCCTAACAAAGGACTCCACTTTTGCAAGAAAGGTGAGGCCTATGGTGAGGAAGCATTGTCGTAGCTTGGCCAGGAAGGAAAGAATTATTATAATGCTGTTTACCAATATATCACCTTTCTATAGAAAACTCAAAGTATTTAAATGTCGTCTGCCCAGGTTAAAAAAAATGGTGGCAGTTCTCTGATACACAGCATAAATCAGGGCACACAGAGGCACCAGCAAAAAGCCAAATTCTGTACCCCACGTGCAGCAACTTTGTTCTCCACTGACCGAAGTAAATTTCCCATTTGAAGTAGAAATATGCCCTGGGGAACCTGGGCCGGTAAAGAAAAGGAAAGTCTAAGAGAGAAGTGGGAAGATAGTAAGGAGAAAGTATCAAGAAGTTTCATCTACACGGGGATGGGGAGCAAGGCATAGGGAATGCAGTCAGCATTAATGTAATGGTGAGGTACAAAGATAAAGTAATCGGGGGGATCATTTCACAAACTATATAAATGTCTAACCAATGTACCGTATGCTTGAAACTTATAATAAAATAAAATTGTTTTTAAAGTTTCATCTAACTTTGCCTTGAACATAACACAGGTTGGTGTATGTGTGTGTGTGTGCACACGCGTGCACCCACTTGCACTTGCATGTCTATTAGTATGAAATACTACTGGTATGACCTAAAGGCTAAAATGAAGCAATTATTAGCCCGTCTTGGACATAGAAGAGAGGTCATTATAAAGAAACCTCTTTATAAAAGAATGAGCTGAAAAGCAAATCTAATAGCATTTTCCAAACTATCAAAATCCTGTATCAAAATTCTGTTTGCATGCGGCACTGCAAATAGGTGGTAACCATGGGAATAGAAAGAGAATAGTAGTCTTAGGGATAGATTGATTATGGGGGTAGTAAGGCAAGGGTTGGTGGCATGCACAGGAAACCACAAACAATTTACCCTGCCTGTTAGACAATAGAGAAATTTCTAGGAACTTTGAGAGTTTAAAGCATCTGAGGCATAAAATTTAAAACAGAATGTATTTTAGAGAATGTATTGTTTACTTGTTTGATTTGGGGATATTATTCCCATTGCCATGTATGGCTTTTTATGACATGGCTCCTGTCTACCTTTTTAGTGTCATCTTTTATCATTCTTGGGCTCAAACTCTTAAGCTTGTATGTCCTCTCCTATGCATACACACACATGTTGTTTCCCACTTCTATGCCTACGCTAATGCTATTTCTTCTTCTAGAAATTCCTGACTTCTTCATTTGGCTAACTACTAGTCATCCTTTAAGACTCTGCTTAGGTGTCACCTCCTTCAGGTCTTTTCACAATGGTTGTACCTCTATTACTGTGAACTGAAATTAGATGGTTTTCCTCTGTAATCCTAAGCTACCCTATATATATTTTACATTGTGAGAAACTATTCGCTTACAGTCTTCTAGAATGCAAGTTCTCTGAGGACAGGGCAACTGTTTTAATCATGCTGGTATTCCTAGCACCTATCACAAAACTTGACAGAGAGCAGGCACTCTGTAAATGTTTATTAGAATATTTGACTCAGAAAGGCCGTTGACTACTTTCTGACCAAAAAAGGGAAAGGACAACTGGTCTAGAATCCATCTACCAGAGATCATAAAATACTAGGAGTATATTTTCTTTTCTTGGGGTCTGAACAATTCTGTTTGTGAATTTATTTATTTGAGACTTGAAAAAGTATAGAAATTGGGTGGGCAGAAGACAGAAGAAACTACATAAACTCAAACACAGGGGTATGAGTGAGCCTGGTGTGGCAGAACATGAGAATCTATTAATTGCTGGGGTACTAAGAAATAAGTTTGAAGAAAGAAAAAGTGTGGCCATTCGTGTGCTTTAAAATCCAGGCCTAAGCTATAGCCTGATAGGCAGTACTAAAGTAAATGTTAACTAGAGGATGACACATAGTATACTCTAGTTGTGGGGAAAGAAAACCACAAAATTATAATTAATGACCTCGATGCACTGAGTTGTGCAATGCTGGACTTTTAACTACAGGCAATATCTTCTAGGACACACACATCACAGCCATGAATCTGCTAAGCTTACACACACACACACACACACACACATTGACAGCAATTTAAAAATTTATTTAGTAATAAGGCACCAATAAATATATCCCACATTCTCTTCTCATCTTACTAATATTAAATTTATGTCATTATCTATAGAAGTTTCTTTAACTTTGTTTTTAGTCACTAAAAATAAAGGAACTCATTACTTAAAGCTTTCTTCTAGCTATTTGGATGGGAAAATTTTGCACAAATAAGGAGGCATTTAAACAATCTTACAAATCCAATGCCTTATTGAGTAACCATACTGTTTTCTAGCCCTTTTCTGAAAGAACCCTATTAAAATCTAAGAAGGGAAACCCCATTAGTCTAGCTACAGGCATATATAGAAAACAGTATGGATATATATATGTGTATGTATATAAAATCCTGTTATAGTAAGTGTGTGTATATGAAATATCCCTTTAAAGTTTATAGTTTCAGATATTAACTACTTTATTAAAATATCAGGCTCTACCAAAATCTTAATAAATTATTTCTTTAAAAGTTTTAGTCAATTCTGGGTAGTAAGACTTACTTAGAAATGACAATCACATAGATTTCCTTGTTGCCCACCAAGAAGGTAATGAATGATTCTCTAGCTACATCAACTAGTGGATGGACTAAGAAAACGCATACTACTTTCCTGCAGAATACTAAGGGATGACATACCAGAGAACCTTTAAAAAAACAAAATAGCTCCTGATGGATAATTTCATATTGGTGCAATCTAAACAGGAAAAGAGAATCTGTTAAATTTCATGATTTTTTTTTACATTTGCTGTAGCCTAACATATAGCTTTTCATAAGTATAGAATATACAAATCATAAGTGTTCAGCTTGATAAATGTTCACAAATATAATACTCCCATGCAACAAGCAACTAGAATCCCAGTACCAGAACCCCAGAAGATCTCTCCTTACTGTCAAGGTTAATCATTATCTTGAATTTTAACATCATAAATTAGTTTTGCCAGTTTTTTTTTAAACTTTTTGTATATAACATTTTATGGCATGTATATTTTTATGCCTGACTTGTTTTAGCTCAACATTATGTTTTGGAGATCCAACTATACAATAACACAGACATGTAGTTCATTTATTATCATTTTATATGGTATTCCAATGTATGAAAATACCACAATTGATTTGTTTTACTGAAGGATAATTGGGCTGTTTCCAAATTAAGTTTATGTTGAAGAGTACAGCTATTAACTTTGCTGTAACATGTCTTCTGTACGTATTTCTGTTAGATATAGTCCTAGAGTGGACTTTCTGAATCATAGGGTACACCATACCTTGTTCATGTAGTAGATGTTGCCAAACAAGTTTCCAAAGTGATTTTCCAATTTATATTCGCACCAGCACTACCACATAGATTTTTAAAGGCCACATGCTGTGGAATAGGTTATGGAAGGAAAAGAAGGAAGATGGAAAAAAAAGGGGTGCTTGATGGGAAAAGAGAAGAAATAGTTGTTTACTGAGCCAGATACCATGTTAAGTGCTCTACATTTATGATCTCATTTAATCCTCATAGAAACCTTTTGAAATAGAAACTATTATAATCCCCATTTTACAAATAAAGAGACAGAGAAGTTAAGCAACTTGCTCGAAGTTACACAACTAGTATGTAACAGGTCTGATATTTGAACCCAGACTATCAGACTCTAAAGTTTATGCTCTCAAACCGCTTTACTGTAAGAACATGAGGACAAAATGTTAGAAAATGCTTTGCCTGTGACATCCATGCTTCATAGGGCTTGGTTCCCCATCAACATTAACCATGACATATAATAATTAGGAATCATTTGACCCTCCCTATCCAATAGAACAGTACACAAAGATGAAACTGTTTAATCTCATCTTCAGTTAGATTGAATAAGCTCATCTGTATTCCCTTTGAAGAAGTCAAAACTTAGACCACATTTGTACTTCCTTCGCAGGTGAGTCTCACACTGTCAATTTGCAAGGGTCACCATTGTTAGATTTGGATTCAACTGATTCATAATAAGAACAAACAGTACTGGGTATTCAGGGTGAGGCCTGGGCTTCAGTAGCTAGATCTTAGGAACAAAGACAAATACATAATATTCTCTGAGGTGTAAAAACACATAGGATTTTGAGCCTATAGAACACTTAGATGTTTCACTAACCATCCCATACAATGGAGCCTTTTGTTTTTTCTTTTTGAAATATCTTTAACCAAACCAATCCTTTACATTAAGAGATATCTGACTCACACTAGACAA